CCATAAAAACGCCTAGTCTAGTTTTTCCCGGGGCATCGTGATCCATCGCTGTGGCGTGAGCCACGCGCCACCTCCTGGTCCCTCGCCTCTTCCTTTTCCCTTCAAGCACGGATTTATTCCTCTTTAACCGCCGTTAAATCGGTAGATGCGTCGCCTAGATTACGTTTCTTTGATGCGTACCGTGGTGTCTGTGACCGATCAACTATAATCGCCAGATCGAGATTGGAACATATTAGTTGCTCTCTTCAATCTTCGCTATGGTAAATACGCGACCTAGATTACCTACATTTCTTCCATCGTTGAATCGTGCAACTATGATGGTGCCCGGTTAATTGTCGCAAGATTAGGTTAGGTTTGAGATATCTCGTTTATCCGGGAAGATAGTAAGTGTTTTTAGAATTACTTGGAAACATTTTGAATTTTAAATCATTTCGAATATATTATTTAATATTTTTCGATTAATTCAATATTGATTCTGTTATCCTCTAATAGATGTAATAATTTACAATATTTCTCATACATTTATTCACACACAGTATCTATCAGTACTTTATTCTTTTCTACAGATACTAATACAATTCAAAATTATAATCTTACTGTTTTCATTATATTTTGACACGTCATTGGTAAAAAGTTGAAATTCATTAGGAAAGGAAAGAAATTTAATAGGAGTCGAATATATACACACACGTAAACAACTATACGATTTTTCGTGAATGAAATGCTCCTTCCATAGTCTGGAAGGTTTCAAACGAGCGTGAAGCAGTTAACTGGAATGGCCAATAGAACGGCGCATCCACCATGATGAGAGCTAGGCCAGGAGCAGGAAACGAGAAACGTGGTGGAAATTGAAAATGGGATGGACGTCCCAGGGATTGGGGGAGACGGATATAGGAACAGAGCACCGACTCTCCACGGAAATAACGTGATCCTAATTTCAACATTTCATACGCACATTTCGATCGAATTTATTTAAATTTACACAAAAACAACGCTTACCAAAATATACAAAACTGCGAACATCTCGTAAATATATATTTGCAACAGGATCCTTTTTCTACACACGAATATAAGATATATTCGATTTTGGAAAAATTATATCAAGAATAGAAACGATTATTATTATTATTCGTATCGATCCACCTAAGAAAGAAACAATTCAAATTGCAAATTTTCTACGACGCCAAGACACGATTTTATCGCAACGAAATATATTCCATTCTCGAGCAGCGAGGAAAGGGGGAGGGGAGGGGAAAGGAGAGAGAGAGGCCATAACGCTTTGACAAAGAAGAAGGAACCAATAAGTCGAGCACCCTACGGCGGTCTGCCACGTTACATATAGCAATCTAACTTGTGTTTATGGCTGAATATATATGCATAGCAGTCCAGCGGATCTGTGGTGGCGCGAGAGGAACTCATTACCCCCGCGTCGAGAGTATTAGCATATTTAGAGGCAGTTTCCCCCTTCCCTCTGTGTCCCCATCTCTTATCAAACCCCCACTCCTCTTGCTCCTCGCCCTTCCTTTCCTCTCACCCTTTTTTCCACGTCGAAAGGTGAACGTACAAGGCAGGATGGTGACGCAAAAAAAAAAAAAAAAAAAAAAAAAAAAAAAAAAAAAAAAAAAATGTAAAATAACAGATGGATACATGAGATTGAAAATTATCATTATTATTCATTTTCTTTACATCTGCCTCGAGATAAGGATATTTATTATTAGCCAAGGTTTTAAAAAATGCACGATAAAAAGCGTTAATTGATTTACGAAAAATAAATCAAAATGTCATTTTACTTATTTCTATTAACTGAAAATTTCTTCATACGGAAGGACACAAAAATTTTCTTTTCAAAGAATCAAAGATAGATTAATGTATTACATATCGCACGGATAATTTAATTGTCACGAGTCCAAGAATTTTTCATCATCTCGATTGAAAAAAAAATTTTTTCCACGAAGCGAATAATAAAGAGTGGAAGAAAAAAAAAAAAAGTCAAACGACTTCCCCAAAAATCCTCCGTTTTTAATTACGATTCCACTCTCTCAGGTATTCGACGTACAAGGATCGCGAATAAAATTTGTATCCGCGCCGGTATGCGCGGAATAAAAGGCGAGACATCGGATAAGTAATTAAGGAAGCTCATCCTCGGAGACAATTTAACTTAATGAGAGTCAGCAGCCAGTTCCACCCTATCTCCCCGCTTCTCCCCAACCCTCGACCAACCGTCTCTCTCTCCCTCTCTCTCTCTCTCTTTCTCTCACTCGTATCCTCTTATATTCGTCCATGTTGGAAGTAAAATGTCTGCTTTCCAGACGTCCGCCCCCTTTTCCCTTTTTTTCGCCTCCTATCCGAGGCCGAGAATTTAGATAAGACTTTATTTCGCCCGCCTTTCCTCTTATTTCAACCGTTTTTTCTTTTTTTTCTTTTTTCTTTTTACAATTTTTTATATTTATATTATAAACGTTTTATTTATTAATTAACGTTGTAAAATTCTCTTTTTTACCGCAAGTTTTAATTTAATTGTTAAATTTGAATTTTCTTAGATAGATCGAGGATTTCGATGGGGATGGAGAAATTCAAGACGAGTTTGATGTGTCTGTGTGTGTGTGTGTATTGCATGCGCGTTTTTTAATAGATTTGAATATGACACGCGAATCGAACGATTTAAATTTCTTGGAGGATTGGAATTTGGTTTCGAGGGAATAACGTTTATCGATTTTTTTTCCTTTCTCTCTCTCTCTCTCTCTCTCTCTCTCTCTCTCTCTCTCTCTCTCTCTCTCTCTTCTTGTTGAAATTTTAAAGACGACGATTTGAAGTTTTTAATATGCTAAATTGAGTGGACACGTATATTCGCGCATGCAAAACAGAAAAAAAATTCCGATAATCTGGCAAGAATCTCAATTACAACCGTGTCTTACGAACGTCATTTGCCAATCATCACGATTCCTATTTTCTATGGACACACTTAATTATTCTTCATACATAGGTACGTATCTTTTTATTTATGGTAACAAAATTATTAAATTAACTATATTGTTACGGAAATGGCGGCCAAAGTGTTGAAATTATTTTGACAATCGAAGGATGGAAAAAAAAAAATTCCAAGGTCGATCAGGATAATGTAATAAAATTCGATTTAAAAAAATGGAAAAACATTCCCCGATTATTCGAAACTCATTCAACTTCATTCGCTTGTAAATCATATTTTAAAAATCTTTTTTAAAAAGCTTTCATTATTATTTCACTCCACTTAAAAATATCAAATACATACACATATATATATATATATCTAATTCATAATTTTAATCAATTTATAATTATATCATTAATATTAATCTTCATTGTTAACAAATTTTTATTTTGTATGCTAATTGCAGATATAATTATTAAAAAAAAAATCTACCAATCTAAAATCGAAAAATGTGAATTTTTCAGAAATAAGATAATTTTAAACGTTGGAAAAATAAGTTGGAAGCAACTTATTCCTTCGAAGAATTTTTTCCACCACGTCGAATAAACAATTCGACGATCTGTTTTTTTTTCTTTCTTTTTTTTTTTTTTTTTCTTTACATCGGAATTCATTGCATCAGAGCCGAGGAAAGCTCTCGGTTTACACGCACAGGGAATTTCTGTTTAGATCGCCGCGCATTTGCCGTTCAGCTGTACAAAGTTTACTCGATTCACCCAGCCGGGTCGGAGAATAGATTCGCTTGAAATTCGTGGATTTTGTATTTTGAAAAGAGAATTTGAGAAGATATATATATATATATATCGAATAATATATCAATGTCGATAATTATTAACATTGTAAACAGTGACTTGTTTAAATAATTTGAATTTCAAAAATTTTCGAGTATCGTTTTTCTTCGTATAATTTGAAATCTCGAAATAATAACAATTCGCCATTTTGGTAATTAATTAAGCAGAGAAACTTATATCTATCACGTTTTATCACTCATAAAATTTTAATAAAAATTCCGTCTATCTCCTCGATCTCTTAATCTCTCCGAAATTCAAAAAAAAAAAAAAAAATCTTGTAAATCTTTGTACATCATTAAATTCCTTTATCTTATATTATAAATTGCAAATTTCTGTATTATTCCGAATCCACGTGCCTATATAATAAAATTTCCTCGATTTATTCGATGAAAATAATGAAAATCAGGTTTCTCCGTTTACTTCTCATATAGATATTAATCTCACGCTGAATATCGTTCCAGGAATCGGGTGAATGATATTCCTTGTTACAGAAACGAGTTTCGACTATCAAATGTAACACGTCGAGCAACGTGGTGATTAGTTACGGCCATTACATTCTCGAAGGGTGTGAAAGAAGGAAGAAGAAACTTGGAAATTTTCAAGAACGCGTCAATTCCATACTACGCGTTGAACGCTCGTTTCGAGTATTCCTCAAGTTCAAGAGGTTATATCCATTGTGAAACGAGACCTCGAAGAACAACGCGATTCCCTCAAATTCGAAAAAAAAAAAAAAAAAGGATTTTTTTGAAACGACCGAGCGTGATTTTTTCTCTTTTTTTATTAATATACTTTTAATTTTTAGATTTCGAGCGAGTATCAGATCTTGTTTGAGATTTAAGAAGAGTATTCGCACTTGTTGCACTCGATGCCCTTTTATTATAACGTTATATCCTGTACGTATACATTTTTCATCTTAATTTATATCGAAAATATTCTTTTCTTTTTGTTCCTGTCTCTGTATATACAGATATACAGTTTATACAACGTAGCAATAGATTCTATTTTACCGAGAAATAAATAAATCAATTGTTATAATTAATTACCTACTGTAGGTAATGAATATCTATATTACATTTTTAGATCTGGAAGAAAAATTCATACGATGAAATTATACGGAGAGAATTGAAAGTAACGATCAAATAAAAAGATAAAAATTATTTATGCGAAACTATTCCAAGGGATCGAATAACTAAATAAGGAATAAATTTGAAGGAACGATGAATAATCTTGGGACCTTTTTTTTCACCAGAGCAAGAAAAATGGAAACGCTGGTTGGAATTGACAAAGGGAGGGTGAAAAAGGAGGGTTCGGTTCGAGGGGCGGAATCATTGTTATGGAAAATGGACGGAGATGGAATCTTTTCTGAAAGGTAAATGGAGAAAGGTATATATAAAAGATGAACGACGCGATTGCGGATCGTGCGCGCATGCAACTTCCGCCGCGTCTACTCGATTTAACACCGGTGATGGAATCTTGCGAAAGCTGATACGTTTCTCTCCACGATTTTTGCAAGAAATACCATTTTGTTTGAAATATTTAGAAAAATTAAGAATCTTATTGGAAAAAATTTTACCCGATTTAATTTTAATTTCAAAATTAACGTGATTATAAAAAAAATTGGGATGTAAAACGAAGAAAGAATCTGCTTCAATTTGTTCGTGCTTTGTTCTTTTCTTTCGAGACGATACAAAATATTGAATAAACAAAGATATTTTATAAGAGCGAAGTTATCTTGTTTAAATGTAAAGGAATAAAATATAAAAAGCAAAAGTTACGATTGAAATTAGAAATGATGAAGCAGTATATATTCTCTGCTTAAAATATTCTTCCGGATAAAATTATACCAATTTGATTTTTCCTACAGCGTTTCGCTATAAGGGTGAAGGAAGTGAAGTGACGTATAGCGAAAGGAAGGGTTCGAAGCTCTGTTTCGATCGCAGCGCCATCGTACGAACCACGCGAAAGGTCATTAGCCAGTAATCGATAAGGTAGAGAGGGGTGGGTCGATAATGTCGGCTCTGGAAGAAAACAACCCCATTTCATTGCCCATCATTGGGACACTGAGGAAATTCCAAAGGGTGAGTGTATCGTAAATAGCTTCGTTTCACGAAGATGAAAGGTTATTTTCTCGATGAGAAAAATAGATCGGTCACGTAAATATTCAGCCAAAGACGTAAACAAATGAGTCTTCTAAAAAAGACAAATAAAAGAAACGAAGAGCCCCAAAGAAATAAAATCTTTTCGAAATCGTACAAGTAATACAACATTAAATAAATCTCGAAGTTTACGTTTACACGTGTAAACATATTATAAAATAAATCATATATCGATTCGATAATTTCCAAACTATTTCCTTTCCTTTTTTCTTTCTTCTTTTTTTTCAATATTTCTTAGAAACATGCCTTAAAAATTTTTGGAACCATTGCACTAATTTCTGTTTCCTCGACCAGTTTTAGGAACGTTGGTTTTAAAACTATGAAGGAGTTCAAGATTATTACACAGACATGCCACTCTCTATGCAGACTTCAATAGAACGTCAACATTAATCAAGCTAATGCCAGGCGTCTCGAATCCTTACGATCATTAAACGCCGCCATTCCTCCCGTCAATTGACCCCATAACTAATAGTTCAATCACAACACACCAGTGTCTTTCACTCGATCATAGAGCCGCCTGTCCAAATAGACGACTTCGAATATTTCTAATCTCCATCCAACGCGGCAATGAAGTATATGTAAATATATGAGCAACAGTCTGTCTCATACTCTGTCCAGTGTAAATCAACCTTAAGCACACTTCATGAACATAAATCCCGCATATATTTATTACGAGAACACTAAATGCTTTCTATTTAATCGTTATCTTAATTCCAAACAGATGTCATTTTACAACCTAACCCAACTTTTTTTTTTCTTGCTTAAACTCGATCGTTAATTGTCGTAATTGTCATTTTTTCGATCAAAAAAATTCTTTTGCATTCTTAACAATCGTTACTTTCGTATTCACATTCTCGTTATTTGTAGTCTCAATTGGAAAAGTTTTACACCATTTGGTGCAATTTTATATATCCTATTTTCTTTTTTTTTTTTTTTTTGCAAGATCACATTTTGTTCGAATCATTAATATTTTATCATATGTAGGTAACGTAGTGGAACAATTTTTCCTTTTTTCCAAAATCATTTTCAACCGCATAAAAGCTTCCCATCTTTTTTTCGATCATGCAACAACTATCTATATTTAACTCGTTGTTTCACGTAAACAACCTCCCCACTCCTTCTTTTCTTTTTTTCTGATTTTGACTTTTATTTTCGCTTCTCGTCTCATGTAAATCCCTTTTTACACCCGTATCGTTAAATAAGTAAAAAGATAAAAGTTCCTCAGGTAAGAAGGACTCACTACCGGCGCGAGTCGAAATTCTCGTTCGTTTCATCGCGCAAGCGGTGAGAGAGGTTAAAGCCGAGAAGGTAACGAGCGATTCGCGTAAACTTGTCGTCGCTCGTAAAACGCAACGTTTACAGATCGGGCGGCTTTATGCGCGCGCACGCGATCCCAAACATAGGAAGTTGATATAGAAGTCTATTCTCGTTGTGTAAATAATCACCGGCCGCACGAAAACGTGCGCGTGCGCGCGCGATACCAAAAGCAGAGCCGATTTCGGCGCCGCCTCCGCTTTTTGGTAATGCCCCCCCCCCCCGCGCGTCGTGGAGATCATAAAAGAAATTTTTGTAGGAATTTTTCTCGGATGATAAATAATAATTTTTTTCTATATATATATGAACTCGAATGGTATTATCCATTATTATGCATTATTATTATGATCGATATTAAAATTTTTCAGAGGAGAGGACGGAATTTTAAAATAAAAACTTCTCGTTTGAAAAATTTCTTCTTAGATATGAAAATAATGTTTGAAAGACGAGCTGGAAGTATATTGTATTACCACTTTTTCCTTTATCTCTCCTAACATTCTTTGCCGCACTAAACGCCGAATTATCGTAGATAAACACAAAAAAACGTTTTCCTGTTGCAGCTGTTATATCGTCCAAGAGTTGCACCATTTAGAAGACGAATACTTCAAGGACGGCAATAACAATTCGAAGATGGAGGAAAAGCGAGGTCGTTTTAAAAAAAAAAAAAAAAAAAAAAAAAGGAAAAAGGAAAAAGGAAACTATAAAATAGGGAATTTTTTCCTACGAATCTACCTTACCTACAGAGTCAACCTTGACACGTTACACTTACGATCAATTTCGATAGATCTGTTCGAGCACACACATATATAATATATATATATGTATATATTTCAAACAGTGATAAATTACAACTACAAGGAAAAATTACGACTATCGAGGTCGTCGACGGAGGAAACCGAAGGTGGAAAAATTCAAACGGTTGATAAACGAACCGGTCGAGCGTCGAACACGCGAGGCGCATAATAAGCGAACTTATACGCCGCGAGGAAAATAAATTCTCCATCTTATTACGCGAGAAACCGTTGTGGAAGAGCCAAAAGAGAGGAAATGAAAGAAACGAGGAGAGAGGAGCTTATTAGACAAAAGCTTATTAGACAAAAAACAAAAAAGATAAATAGAAACGGAATAATAAAAATCCTCGTTAATAAATAACAAGGTGGAGGGAAATCGGAATAATGATCGATCAATGTTTATCTTCAGACGAGAAACAAATTAGAGTATAATCAGAGTAGTATAAACCTTAACCTTAAACCTTAACCTGAACACCTAACCAATCACGTTCCCGAAACGTACTTACCTACACAGCCAATCAACAATGACAAAGAGTAGGCTGCACTTTGAAAAAGGAATGCGCATGCGCGGAAAATGGTGGCCGACACAACCGGCCAGGGAATTCGAATAAATTTCGATGCTTCTGTATAAAAAGAAAAAAAAAAAAAAAAAAAACCCGGGACACGACAAGGATAAAGATTTTACGACATTAAACCCCGTTGGTAAGTTATGAATATTGCCGCGGCTCGTACGGTTGATTAAGTGGAAAACTCAGCCATTCCATTGCCCTCTATCTCTTCCGAATCGCAGCCGCCATTAAGGAGGGGACAAGAGCTCGCGTTCAAAGACCTCCATTCCACCGGATCGTGGGCACAGCCGACTTTAGATTACATCGAGGCTAACGATATAACGATATATATATATATATATTCGGCTCGATTAAACGTTTGTAAACTTTACAGCATGTCTCCTCTCCAAAGTTCTACGATTCACATTATTTATTTATATCGTTATATATATCGGTGTTTCCATTTCCAACGAGTGTTATTCGAGTGTCGCGACGAAATGATTTCACAACTTGTCGTATCATTTATATCTATCTAATAATTTTTGATATTATTTCGATTATTTGAGTATGATTATTCCAATTATATACAAGGGGATTATTTTAATTTTTTTTATGGATTTATGAAGAATTGAAGCTTTTAAGAATTCGAAGAAATTGGATTGAATTAAAGAAATACGTTTCTCTCTTGTAAATAGAATCGCACATCGCGCATGCGTATCTGCAAATTTTTAACGATATCGTTGAATTAACAAAATGGCTATCGAGTGAATTCGCTCCATTCTTTAATTTCGCCGATCTCTTGCAATCAAAAATTAAAAAAAATAATTTGTATAATTTTTCAATTTTCCACTTTAAAGAAAAGGAACGAAACGTTAAAAAAAATCGAAGGGAACGAAAATCGAAGACGAGACTACCGCAAAAAAAAAAAAAAGAGAAAAAAGATCGAAGAGGCTAGTAGAAACCGAGTAGAAAAAGGAAAAAGAAGAAAAAATGGAGGGGAAGAAGAGAAAAGAAGTGGATCTCCCGCCAAGAGGAGATACGGCTGCAACATCAAGTATCAACAATATTGCCTCGTGGCCTCGGTCCTTTGACATCTGAAAAATAAGACGAGGACACCCGTATCCGCAGCCTCCCCCTCCCCCCCGCCCCACGCCCGCTGCAGAAAGCCTGCTGGAATTCAAAATGGCTGGCTCGGGTTGCACCGTGCGTGGGCAACCGTCGTTCCCTCCACACGTGCGCCTCCTTCCAGCTGGAACGTTTCTATTTCTCCGCGTTGGTATCTCGCCTCCTTTGCCCGACTTGAGAATTCGCCTCTCTTCGTAAAAATTTCGTAATCTTGCCTCCACTTCTTTTTATTTATTTATTTATTTATTTATTTATTTCTTGTTTAAAGAAGAAAAAGGAAAATTTGGAAATGTTGTCTATTTGAAAATCTTGTCCATTTACTTCTTCTATCGATTTGAATTCGTGAAATTTGATGAATTTTACTTCTTTTTTTTTTTTAATTTTGAAAATCTTGAAATTTTGAATTCGTGATTAATTTGCTTCTTTCTTTTTAAATTTTGAAAATCTTTTGTACATTTGCTTCTTGTATCGAATTTTCTTCCTTTTTTTAAATTTTGAAAATCTAGATTTTGAATTCGTGATTAATTTGCTTCTTTCTTTTTTAAATTTTGAAAATCTTGATTTTGAATTCGTGATTAATTTGCTTCTTTCTTTTTAAATTTTGAGAATTTTGTCCATTTACTTTTTCTATCGATTTGAATTCCCGAATTTTGATAAATTTCTTTCTTTTTTTTTAGATTTTGAAAATCTTGATTTTGATTAATTTCCTTCTTTTTTTTTAAATCTTAAAAATCTTGTTCTCTTTGCATCGATTTGAATTCCAGTCTGAAATTTAAGGAAAATTTCGAACCCTTTCAATTCAACCATTCTTAATTTTATCGAATTCTCAACAAAACTCACTTTTCCCAAGACTTTTCGGCAAAAGAGTAAGAAGAGAGACCTATTCTAATTTTCACACATAATAATTATTATTATTTATAACTATAAAAATAATACTAAAATTTACCACGTACACAATTAATCCATTAACAATTACAGATATATAATCATTAACAATTACAGATATATAAATTCCACAAAAACTATTAATCATAATAATATTAATATAACTATAATATAACTATTAATCATAATAATATTAATCATAATAAAAAAATTAAATTACCAAAAACTATTAAATCATTTTAAACAGATCTAAACAGATCAATTATTCGACAGTTAAAAATAAACATAACATAAATAATTTTTCATACCACAACAAATATGTTTCAACAAAAATCACTAAATCGTGCCCGAAAACCGAATTAATTAATTAATTAAACCAATCAAAAATACAATTAAACCCAATACGAATGAATTACATATCTATTGAACATATCGATCCTTCCTAAATGATTTTCTAATCATTTTAAAATTCACGAAAAAAAAAAACCACTTACAACATCGAATTTTTACGTAATTCGTACGTAAAATCCAACTGATTTCGATTCATTCGATAATTTCAACAATTCTCCACAAATTATCTCGATCCACGAGCCGATCAATCAAATCAATCAGAATCGAAGGACAGCAGAATCAAAGAACAGCAAAATCGAAGGACAATAGAATCAAAAGACAACAGAATCAAAGAACAAAAGGAACAGAATCAAAAAATAGCACAATCAAAAGACAACAGAATCAAAGGACAACAGAATCAAAAGACAACAGAATTAAAAAATAGTACAATCAAAAGACAACAGAATCAAAGGACAGAAGAATCAAAAGACAGCAGAATCAAAAAAATAGCACAATCAAAAGACAACAAAATCAAAAGACAACAGAATCAAAAAATAGTACAATCAAAGGACAGCAGAATCGAAAAACAACAGCATCAAAAAATAGTACAATCAAAAGATAGCAGAATCAAAAGACAACAAAATCAAAAAATAGTACAATCAAAAGACAGCAGAATCAAAAAATAGCACAATCAAAAGACAACAGAATCAAAGGACAGCAGAATCAAAAAATAGTACAATCAAAAGACAGCAGAATCAAAAGATAGCAAAATCAAAAGACAACAGAATCAAAAGACAACAGAATCAAAAAATAGTACAATCAAAAGACAGCAGAATCGAAAAATAGCACAATCAAAAGACAACAGAATCAAACGACAGCAGAATCAAAAAATAGTACAATCAAAAGACAGCAGAATCGAAAAACAACAGAATCAAAAAATAGCACAATCAAAAGACAGCAGAATTAAAAGACAGCAGAATCAAAAAATAGTACAATCAAAAGACAGCAGAATCAAAAGACAGCAGAATCAAAAGACAGCAGAATCAAAATACAGCAGAATCAAAAAATAGCACAATCAAAAAAACAGCAGAATCGAAAGACAACAGAATCAAAGGACAGTAGAATCGAAGGACAGCAAAACCAAAAGCAAAATCGAGAATTATTCTCGAATCGAAAGGTTGAGTTTCGTTTCGCAGAACCTCTGAAGAAATCGCGTATTCGAGAGCCCGTACTCGACCCTTCTCTCCACTCTTTGGTCTCTCGCCAAAATCCACGATTCCACGAAGTGGAAGAAGGAGAGGGGGGGGGGCACGAAACACGGGTGAAAGGAGAAGCAAAGGCTCTCGCCGTCTCTTCCAACGAGTGGATCGAACGCCATCGGCCGACGGCGGCCATGCTTGCCAACTCGGCGCAAAGTCGTTTCCATCTTTGAACACGTTTCCCATGACCTCCACGATCGGGCAACCCTTTCACGATAAAAATCCAAAACTCGTCGCACTTATCCAACGCTAGAAATCGATAAACTTTTACGACATTGGTTATAGTTAGCTAGGTTAGGTTGGGTTAGGATTGTTTTTTCTTCTTCTTTTTTTTTCCAACGGAGCTTCGATTCGATTAAGTGATTTCGTCGTTTCTTTTTTTTTTTTTTTTTTT